CCACCTCTTATCGGGCCCCGTATCGCAGTCCATCAACGACCGAATTTTTGGGCATCTTTATTGACAATTCGTTAATAGAAAATATCGTAAAAAAAGAATGTCACACGTTTAATTATCCCAACCAAAAGTACCCTTAAAATTCCTCCCAAGAGCCACTAAAGAAATTCATTTCCTCATATCACCTTCACATAATGAAAAAAAATATATATACATATATGAGTCATAGCATATTAATATTCTTGCACGTCAAATTCACAATTCCACCTCTTATCAGGCCCCGTATCGCAGTCAATCAACGACCGAATTTTTGGGCATCTTTATTGACAATTCGTTAATAGAAAATATCGTAATATAAAATGTCACACGTTTAATTATCTCAACCAAAAGCCATTAAAGAAATTCATTTCCTCATATCACCTTCACATAATGAAAAAAATATATATATACATATATGAGTCATGGCATATTAATATTCTTGTACGTCAAATTCACAATTCCACCTCTTATCAGGTCCCGTATCGCAGTCAATCAAATTTTTCAACCGCCCTCGCCTCGAACTTCCATCGGAAAGTTCCTCTTTTCTTTCCGAGGAGAATAGGCCGCGCTATTGGTCGTCCCTGGGGAAATCGAGATTCGTCTGAACCCGCGATAGGCGCGATTATCTATCGGTTACCGGATAAGTCTCTTAGATTGCGCGTTCCTCCCCTCCACTCGTCTCATCGGTTCCCCCACTCCGCCTCCCACTCCGCGGTATATAAAGCGGGCCCCCCACTCTCTCCGCGGCCACTGTCACTGTCATTCTCGATCAGTCAACCCCCTCCCACGGAGCCGCTGCAGCTGCCCCGCTCCTCTTACCGGCAGTTTTGCAATTTCAACCTCATTTTTGCGCATCGCTATCGGCCCGTGCAAACACGATAACGCGCTGGGCCTTTATCGCGGCGCGGCGTTATCGCGCTTTATTTTTTCAGGCCGCACGCGCATTTTCGCAAGAGGCTGTTGCACCTCGCCGGCTGCCAGGAGGAAAGGAAAAACCATGACACGTGCGAGCCGACGAATCTTCCAGGTTCCACGATTAGTTATCACTTATCGCCAGGCGAGGACGTTGAGGTAAATTAAAGAGCCTCTGATTAATCATTTTTAGGTTAGGATCTGAAGGGTAAGTACGGATTTGGCTGTAATTTTTTAAACGTGCGGATTTTGTCACGCGTGCTCGCATGTAAGAAAAATGTATTGCCGGTCATATGTGTACATGTACCAGCTAATATGTCGCTGTGTCATGGAAGACTTTTATTACAATAAAGTAGATAAATTAAAGTTACGGTGTTTCTTTTCAATTATTCCTCAGTATTCGTGTGATGCGTGTACACGTACTATCTAATATATTGTACCGTGTATAATGTTAATTATAATAAAGTGAATAAATTGATGTTTTCTTGTTTCTTCTTAGTCATTTTTCAATTTTTGAAAAGTGACTGCGTTTATGCAGGGATTTCGATATGTGTGTATTTAGTTATATATCTTTATACCGCGTATACCGATTATTATAACAAAATAAAATGCTATATTAATAACTATATATAATGTCTTTTTTCAAATTTGAAGGCAAGTCCTTTCTTCCTGGAAAATCTGTTCTTACGGCTAGGCAGTTTTGCGTAATCCCATCTCGGTTACTATATTTACACGCGCTAATACGTGTGTCGCGAGTGCGCGTGCGCAGCCGCCCACGCGTGATTATTTACGCGCGGCCATACGCGGATCCAGTGCACTCGCAATCGAGTCGGGGAATTTCATTGAGAGAAGAGAGCGTCATTGGCACAGTGCTCTCCTTCTCTCTCTCTCCCCCTCCCGATTCCGATATCTCGCCGTCTCCTTATCTCTCGTTTTCCCTCGTTCCGCTGCCTCTCTCTTTCTTTCCATCCTCGCTCTTTCACTCTCGGCGAACTAGTAGTCGTCTCTCGTATCGAGATATCGAAAATTCTGCATTTCGTACATTAGAATTAATTTAAACATTTTTTTTATCCCTATTTTACGTGAAATATTTATTGACGGATGAATATCAGTTTTTATTTGTATAGAGAAACACAGTGGACTCTTGTATAACGCGCCAATGTTATTGCGACTACTTCCTGGCAGTACAGAATAATTTTTTAATATTTATTTGTTATCTTTGCTAAATATCTCAAGCGACATATTTTTTAAGATGTTTTGTAGAGTTCCGAAGAGAGTACAAAATTTCTTATGTGCAATATTAACGTAATACATAAATTGTCATTGATTTTGAAATTTAATGGGGATCTCATTACGAGATGATATTAATAAATTGAGATAATTTTGTATAAACTATTAATAGGTTTGTGGTATTAATCTACTCCTCTCGATGAATAAGACGCCTTTTCAGACAAATATAGTCAATTGTCAAGAATATAATTTATTTTAAACAAATCTAGGTGCGACTAGACTTCAGACATGATTTTATCTAGATATTATTAAACAATATGTCGTAACGCTGGTTAAGCAATATTTATGATAATACCCAAGGAAGTACACAATCTCTTACGTGCAATATTAACGTAATACATAAATTGTCATTGATTTTGAAATTTAATGGGGATCTCATTACGAGATGATATTAATAAATTAAGATAATTTTGTATAAACTATTAATAGGTTTGTGGTATTAATCTACTCCTCTCGGTGAGTAAGATGCCTTCTCAGAGACGGGAATAATAAATTGTCAAGAATACAAGGTAGTGGAAACGAATCTAGGTGCGACTAGATTTCAGATACGACTTTATCTAGATATTCTCGAACACGGAGTCGTTATGTTACTTAAGCAATATTTATGATGGATCTCGAAGGAGCACACGATCCCGTACATAGGACATTTACGTAACAGCTAAAATGTCATTGAATTTGAGACTCGACGATAAATCCATTACGAAATGGTACTGCACAGGAGATACCTAATGGGAATATCGAATATATTTCCAGATAACCATAAGTACGCGCATTGAATAAGCCTACCAAATATGGAGATGAATAATCGCCCCGAATCTATGTTAGACATATATTCAGATAATCCCGTCGAATGCATCCCAAGTCGGAATGTCAAATCCCCGTTTGAATTACTATATCGAATAGTCCTGCAAATGCGAATGTAGCTTAACGATTATGCGGTATAGTTTTATCGAATGTGTTTGTACGACAAAGATCTTTGCCTGGTGGCAAAAGATGGATGAGAGCTTCTACACATGGACATACTGCATTTTACCTTCATTACACACATGCAAATTTGGATAATTGCACTCTTTTCTTAAGGGATAAGTGTGGCTAGATATGTGTGATCATACATAAGGATAGGACGAATAGAGGGACCATATTTACACTTCCCTTTCTTTCTTGTTATCAGGTGGACGGTCGTCATAGCGGAGCGCCATTTCTTCTATAAAGAGGAAGAGAAGGATCAAGGAAGTAGCCCCTCTGTTTTCCCTCTTCCAGTTATGCCATCTTCTTAATCACATCAGTATATGTGGTCCATACATCCCACATCCATGGCTAAATACTCCCATCAAACCACCTTGCTCAACCACACTCCCACCCTGGTAGGCATCCAACATCAATCCACAGCTTGGCTGTGCAATTGGTCAATGGTAACTGGGAACCTATTGTAACTAAACCAGAATAAAGATATCGCACCATAATTTGCGTCCTCGGATCTAGTGTTCAGTGTTGAGCGACAAGATCAACTCTATCCGTGATAAGCGTTCCTTGTTCCCCTTGCAAGATTCCCTAGTCGGATGGGTTCAAGATCAGCTCCATCCGTGATAAGCCCTTGCAACATTCCCTAGTCTGATGGGTTCAAGATCAGCTCCATCCGTGATAAGCCTTCCTTGTTCCCCTTGCAAGATTCCCTAGTCTGATGGGTTCAAGATCAGCTCCATCCGTGATCAGCCCTTGCAAGATTCCCTAGTCTGATGGGTTCAAGATCAGCTCCATCCGTGATAAGCCTTCCTTGTTCCCCTTGCAAGATTCCCTAGTCTGATGGGTTCAAGATCAGCTCCATCCGTGATAAGCCTAACTTGTTCCCTTTGCAAGATTCCCTAGTCTAATGGGTTCAAGATCAGCTCAACCAGCGCTTCCTTATGTCTATGGCTGACTTCAACCAAATCGCTTGGTCCAAAACCTCAACCAAATCAACACCCTCGGTCGACTCCCATCCCAATGGGAACTCGGCATCAATCCACAGCTTGGCTTTGCGATTGGTCAATGTCAACCGGGAACCTATCATAACTAAACCAGAATAAAGATATCGTACCGTAATTTGCGTCCTCGAATCTAATGTTTAACGCTGAGTGACAAGATCAGCTCCATCTGCGAGAAGCCTTCCTTGTTCCGTTTGCTGGATACCCTGGCAGGATAAGCGCATCCCCACGTCTACGGCTGACTTCTCCCATCAAGTGGCTTAACCCAAAACCTGCACCAAATCAACGCCCACGACCGACTCCTACCCCAGTGGGAACTCAGCATCAATCCAAAGCTTGTCCGTGCGATTGGTCAATGTCGCTCGAGAATCTACCGTAACTGAACCGGTATAAATGTGACGCAACCCAGTCCGCGTCTTCGAAACTAGCAATCAGCACCAAGCGGAGAGATTAGCTCCACGCATGAGAAGCCTTCGTTGCTCGCCTAGTGCGGCTCCCATCATCATGTGCAGCATTCAACCCTAGGCCCATCGCCACATCCCAACGTCTACGACTACATACTCCCACCAAATCGCCCATCCTAAAACCTGTACCTAATCACCACACTCAACTAAATCCCACCCCAGCGGGCCCTCGTCATCGATTCATAGCTTGGCCTCGCGATTGGTCAACGTCGCTAGGGAATCTATCGCAACTAAACCGGAATAAGTGTGTCGCAACCCAGTCCCTGTCTTCGAATCCAGACGTCAGCACCGAGTGGAGAGATTAGCTTCACGCGCGAGAAGCCTTCGCTGCTCGCTAGATTCCCTCCACCATGCGACGTCCGGTGTTGGGTGTGATGTTGGGTTTGGTGTTGGGTGTGATGTTGGGTTTGGTGTTGAGTATGATGTTGGGTTTGGTTATGGGTGTGATGTTGGGTTTGGTGTTGGGTATGATGTTGGGTGTGATGTTGGGTTTTGTGTTGGGTCTGGTCTTGGGTCTGGTCTTGGGTCTGGTCTTGGGTCCGGTGTTGGGTCCAGTGTTGGGTCCGGTGTTGGGTCTGGTCTTGGGTTTGGTGTCAGGTATGATGTTAGGTTTTGTGTTGGGTCTGGTCTTGGGTCTAGTCTTGGGTCCGGTGTTGGGTCCAGTGTTGGGTCTGGTCTTGGGTCTGGTCTTGGGTTTGGTGTCAGGTATGATGTTAGGTCCAGTGTTGGGCCCGGCGCCGTGTCCTCCAGGTCCACCAGGTCCACCGGCTCATCCCCACCCTGCTCCCATCCGGTGTTGCGTCCGGCGCTGGGTCCTCCAGACCCACTAGGCCCATCCCCACCCCTCTCGCCGGACCTCGCGAGGCTCGCGAGAGGCTCTCGCTCGGACACAGATATCTCATGAAAAGTTGGTCTTTACGTAACAAGATGGACGCGGCGGTTTCCGTGTGCCTTTCACGCGGCAAGGCCAAGCCTGCCGGCGCGCCGTGGGACCGTAAGGGCGCGTTTACACGCGCGATATTCCGCCTCTACGTCGCGGTCCTCGCCGGCCCTCCCGCCCCTCCCTGGGATACACAGATACGAGTATCCGTGCTAAGCCCGAGACCATGAACCGATCGTGGGAGCCAAGGAGCATTGCGAACGAATACCGGACAGTCGAGCGCCGTTCTTTTTTCCTGCTTCCAGCGTCTCTCTCGCGCTTTGGTACTCTCTATTAGTCCCTCTCGCTCTCTCTGATCTAGGGACGGATCCCCTCCCGGGTCCAGAAGGAACTGTCGATACGGGAGTCGCGCTTTTCGAGCGATCAGATCGATCGGCACGCCTCTTGATAGCGCCTGGACCGCTCAGCGGATGCTGCGCTGGAAAACTGCTTATGAAAGCATTTTTTAGACTTAGGATTTTTTAAAGTGACATTTCACATGTTGTGGTAATACGTGTTGGTTTCCAGGTTATGAAAGGAATCCGCATCGAAAAGTGGAGCGACGTTTTACCCACTCAATAAAGGAGGAGGCACTCGATTCGATCCGTACATACTATTTTATATGTATGTCATGCATAACTTTTCCCTCGGTTAATCGATTTTGATATTTCTTTTTTGTTTTATAGAGGAAACTTTCGAAGTAGTTTTGCTAGCGCCTGGACCTAATCGATTTTGATATTTCTTTTTTTTTGTTTTATAGAGGAAACTTTCGAAGTTGTCTTGCTAGCGCCTGGACCGCTGATCGGATGCTGCGCTGGAAAACTGCTTATGAAAGCATTTTTTAGACTTAGGATTTTTTAAAATGACATTTCACATGTCGTGGTAATACGTGTTGGTTTCCATGTTATGAAAGGGACCCGTATCAGAAAGTGGAGCGATTTTTTACCGAACGCACCAAATTATCTAAAACCTTAACAATGATTATGGAGGCTCTAAAAAGGAACGCGCTGCCCGTGAAATTTCATTTTTCGAAAAAGAAATATCTTTTTTTAGTTCTTGGCTGAGATAAGTACAACATTTTTGTTGAAAAATTAAACTTCACGAGCAGCGCGTTATTTCTTAGGGCCTCCATAATCACGTGTTAAAGTTTCCGATAATTCGGTGCACCCAGTTTGGATAAAAGTAATAAATGTTTTGACTGTTTGTTATGTGTACATCACACTTTTACATCCCCTTGAGACCTGCAATTGGAGGTCTTAAATAAGAATTTCGACTCGGAATGTGTTAAAAGAAACATCTTACCCACGGTGGCGCTCTCTGTCGGCGTACCGGCGAACTTCGCCGTTTTCTGATACTTTTGTTCCACGTGATTATGACAATTGTCCGTAAGTGAGATAACAATTCACGCAATGTGTTAAAGTTTCCGATAATTCGGTGCACCCAGTTTGGAGAAAAGTAATAAATTGTTTTGACTGTTCGTTACGTGTACATCACACTTTTACATCCCCTTAAGACCTGCAATTGAATGTCTTAACCCTCTATGGGCCGAATTTTTCATTAAATAAAAAGAAAATTGGGGGAACGAAAAATAAGCAATTAGGAACCTATATATGCAAATGAAAAAAAAATGTTTCATTTAAAATGTGACCTGAAAGTTACACAGGCCCAAAGAGGGTTAAATAAGAATTTCGACTCGGGATGTGTTAAAAGAAACATCTTACCCACGGTGGCGCTCTCTGTCGGCGTGCCGGCGAACTTCGCCGTTTTCTGATACTTTTGTTCCACGTGATTATGACAATTGTCCGTAAGTGAGATAACAATTCACGCAATGGTAGGTTTCCCACGTGAGTTCCGACATTAATCCCTAATTTCGGACGATAGAACAGGCGGTGCATAAACCTCGAGCACGTTTGCCAGCGGAAAACGCACCTCGGCCGCGTCTTTCCGGGCTCGGCAGTTCCTGCGCATAATTTTCGCACGCACACGCGCGTGCGCACTCGCGCAATTGCGGACGCATTTGCACGCAGCTTACGCCGAAGCGTGCGTGCCATCTGGCGGCCCATGTGGCTCCTCCGCGCGGGCAAAACGCGCGTTTCTTCCGCCGCGGATCCTCGCTCCATTTCGCGAAACGCGCCTTTTCTTCCGAGCAATTTCGACATTTTTCCGCGGTATCCGGACGCGGATTCCGCCTTTTAACAAAGAGCCTCCTCTGAGCTCCGCTGCGGAGGGGATGCGGAATTACTGCCGTGGGTGCCGAAAACTTGATACTTCATTCTCTTATGTAAGGCAAAGATGCAGATAAACGTGTTATGCAAAGAATATTGAACAGCATTACTTAATGCACTTTGTGGTTTTATTTTATAGATACTTTCCCACAAATATACACTTGTACTTTTTTTCCCCCAACAATTTTGACACTTTTTTAACAATCGTGCGGAATCCGTTTCTTAAGGGGATGTGAATGTGGCATCTGAAAGCTCAATCGTTCATAAAACTTTTCTACGAACTGGGGGTCTCAAATCGTTGCATATTTAGAAACGTGAATATGGAGACCCTAAGGTAGGTCCTGAAAGTCGTGAAATTTCATTTTTCATAAACTGGCATCTTAAGGGGATGTGAAAGTGGCATCCGAAAGCTCAATTGTTCATAAAACTTTTCTACGAA